TCCTGGGGATAAATTAATTCACATCTGATGTGAGATTAGACAATATTACACTAATTTTCTGTGTCTAAATATGCCAGTAAAGCCAAGGAGAAGATTATTGGGAAGGTTAAGGGAAGATATACAAGTGTGGGGCAGTGAGAAATAGGACTGAAAGTATTTCTGAAAACAGTTAGTTGCAGTCAAATGGCTTCAAAGTGAAATAAAATAGGTAGCTTAGAGTTGATTCATTATGGTTATGGCTTTAGCAAATCTGTGTCTTCTCTTCATTGTTGCTGTAGTTTTTTCAGTTACCTACATGATAGCAAAAGTACTTCTCTAAAGATACTGTATTTTTGCAGATCTGAATTTCAGTCAAACATACAGGCAGTGTAGAGATCAGATGATATTCCAGGAGCAATTACATGCCCAAAGTAAAATTTAAGACAGCTTTGTTTGTACAGTACAATTAGGCAATCTCTGCCCTAAAGAGCTTACAATCCGAATAAGTGAAATAGGCATGAAATATCTTGCCCAATGTCTCAAGGGCATTCTATACAATTCCCTACATAGTAGGAAACCTCTCTAATAAACAAGCACAATAAATGGCAAGTCTTAGATTAATGAATCTTCATGAAGATGAAAATTGTTTGTGGACCATGCAGATATAAGCCTCAATCTCAAAGTCAGTGCATACCGAAACACAACTGAGCATGCCTCAACTTAAGCAAATTCTTTGCAGTAGAACGAAAAGGAAATATGCTGTGTGTCCACTTCTACCAGGTTCCTGGAGAAGCTTGCTGTAACCCTCACGTGCCTGAAAAACAAGATGTGGTAAAAGAAGTTAGTTTTAAACATAAAGTAAGAGTGATAGTCATTGCATCCACAGAAATAATGTATTTGATGCTTGGTAAGTGATATTAAATCCACATGAAAATTTCAGTGCAGCCATATACAATGATAGGTGACTTGTGGGAGAATGGAGTCACCAGTGGCATATTACAGTGCAGATAAAGCTTCTTTAAAATAAAAATGTTTTTTAGTGGTTAGTGAATCTTTCTAAAAGTATACTTTCTTTTAGCTCCTTTGTGCTGCTTCTGTACTTCTGTGGATCTCAAGGTCACAGGGCCAGGAGGGGGCAGGTTCCTTCCAACTTCAAAACCTTTAGACTTGTTCTGTCTCCTCTCCTGAGGCTTCTGAGCAGCCAGGGCAATAAGCTTCTTGTTTCTAATTTCTACAGGGATGAATAGATGCTGCTGCCAGTGCCCACTCCCCATCCTTTAAGGCCTCGTCAGGACAGCAGCAGATCCACCAACCTCTAGATCAAAAGTCAACAATAGAGGAAGTCCACAAGCAAAGAAGACACTGAATACTTCTTTTGTGAAAAATGGCAGTGCCCCCTGGGGGCAGAAATGCATCTTGCTTTTGTATTTGTGCTTGTCCTTAGTGTACAGGAATTGTAATGATCTGATACTGTACACAGGCTTACATAAGTCTTCCTATTACATAGTTATTAGAAAACATTTTGGGGGAGTAAAGGGTAGCAATATATAAACACCCCGTCTTACACATTTTATTCACTAGCCTAAAAGAAAATATTTCATATGAGGTTTTTTAAACTTTTTCAAAAATTTCAATTTTCCAATTTTTTGGGGAAAAAACC